GGCCAGGGCCGATTTTAGGTACATTTTGATTGGGGGGAGAAATGTTTAAAAGGGTCAAGGCCTGGGAGATACTCTGGACAACCAAAACCAGCCTGAAGGTACTGGAAGCCAAGAAGGCATACCAAAAGGAGGCAAGATCTAACACCAGTGCAGACTGACATGTCAGGGCAAATTTTTGTCATTATTCTGCAATTTGAAAATATGTAATTTAAGTACATAATAACTGGAGAATGCCAGGCACCACACCACATAAAGAAGTTTATGTAAACTTTTGTTTACCAATCTTATAAAAGAAAATATTTATGTCTATTTTAAAGATCATTTACACTATACAAAAAGTAAACCTGGATTTCCTGCCTCCCACCATATACAGGGTGGGGTAAAAGTAGGTTTACAGTTGTGAGTATGTGAAACAGAATTTATTCTTGTATTATTATTTATTGTATTATTTTTCAATACAAACAACTGTAAACCTACTTTGCCCCACCTTGTATTCTAGAAATTAAAGATCTCATTCTGAAAGTGTAACTCTAAAGTACATAGAAGAAAGAGTAGACCCTTATTATGATCTTGGGACAAGGTAGGACTTTTTTAGTAAGACCCATAAAACACAAACCATGAATCAAGAAGTTAATGGAGTTGACTGCATCAAATGAAATATCCTTGTTCAACAAAGGACTTCATAAATAATATTTAGAGATGGGTGACAGATTGGAAAATTACTTGCAACATGTAAAATGGACAAGAGATAGATATTTAGAATATGGGTTGCTCTATAAACAGAAAATTAGTAAATATTTTAGGTTTTGTATACTATATTGTCTCTGCTGCAATGCTCAACTCTGCTGTTGTAGCATGAAAACAGCTACAGACATACACAGATGAATGAATGTGACTGTGTTCCAATAAAACCTTATTTACAAAAATAGGTGGTGAGCAGGATTTGACCTGCAGGCTGTAGTTTGTCAATCCCTAAAGTAGGATATACAAGAAATCCCTATGGGATCAATAAGAAAAATTTAAAACATTCAATGGAAAACCAGGCAAAGGATATTAATAAGCATATTGGCAGAATAAAAATCCAAGTGGCTAAATAAGTATATGGATGTGCAACTTTAATAATCTGAGAAATGCAAATTAAAAATAAATTCCATTTTGCACCCAAGAGATTTGTCAGAACATGGAAGTCAGATAAGTTAGGTGGAGGTAAGTGTGTGAGGAAATATGAAAATATGCTGAGGAGTGTCAGTTAAGTGAAATTAAGTAAGTCTTTCTGCATTCCAAACAGAGAGCTCTTTGATAAAAGGCATTAGGCAACCTTATAACGACACATATACATTTTTAAAAATTTTGTAATTAGAGACAATCTACATTAGCTTTTTCTTTTTTATCCTCACCCGAGGATATTTTTCCATTTTTTGTACAGATAGAATGGGAGGGAGAGAGAGGAAGGGAGAGAGAGAGAGAAACATCAACGTGAAGGGACACACCGAGTGGCTGCCACCCGCACGACCAACCAGGGCCGGGGACAAACTACAACCGAGGTACGTGCCCTTAGCGGGAACCGAACCCGGGTCTCTCCGGACCACAGGCCGACGCTCTAACCGCTGAGCCAAAATGGCCAGGGCTACATTAGCTTTATTTTTCTTATTTCAACAATAATCAAAAACATCATAGACTGTCATTAGTCTACAGACCATGTTATAAACTACTTTCTACCAATGTGTTTTAGACACACAAAAAATCTTAATATTCTTAGCATCTAATTATTTTACACATTAGACTTTCATAAATCTAAAAGAACTGGCTTTCTGAAGCCTGATTAATGGAATGAAAACTTCACATGAATTTAAAATAAAGTGAGACTTCTATTTTATAGGATGGAGAGCCAATTACAGAGTTCTTCTTGTAGCTCCTTCTGGGTTTTCCCTCCTCTACAGAGTCAGGAACACTTCAGTAGGAAAATCTTAGAAAGTTAATAAGCAGGGACAATTATTGAAGATCTTTAGCTAAATAAAACCAAGATATAAGTGCGTTTCTCTCTCTCTCTTATTTAATCCTCACCCGAGGACATTTTTGCATTCATCTTCAGATAGACTGGGAGGGAGAGAGAGAGGAAGAGAGAGAAACATCGATGTCAGAGAGTCTGGTTGCCACCCACACAACCCCAACCGGGGCCAGGGACAAATTGCAACTGAGGTACGTGCCCTTAGTGGGAACCGAACCCGGGTCTCTCTGGTCTGTGGGCTGATGCTCTACCACTGAACCAAACTGGCCAGGGTGCATTTTTCTCTCTCTTTAATGGGAAGTTAAATCACACAAATAATATAACCTGCTTGGTAATTAGAATTACAACTTTTTTTTGCCATATTTTTTTCTACCTCTACCCGAAGTATAAGCTATTGTAGCACTAGGTTCTGAAATAGAGGCTTTCCTATCATTGAATTCATTTGTCATGGTCTGATAATTAAATATACAATGGATTATTCAAATAAGTATGGCCTAAACAGTACGAGTAGCTTGCAAATGCACTGATTAAAAAGGCTTATTGTCTTAAAGAAAGTATATCACATGCTTCACCTTAAAAATTAATGATAATCCGCCCTGGCCGGTTTGGCTCAGCGGTTAGAGCGTCGGCCTGCAGTCCGGAGAGACCCGGGTTCGGTTCCCGCTAAGGGCACGTACTTGGTTGCAGTTTGTCCCCGGCCCTGGTTGGTCGTGTGGGTGGCAGCCACTCGGTGTGTCTCTTCACGTCGATGTTTCTCTCTCTCTCTCTCTCCCTTCCTCTCTCTCCCTCACACTCTATCTGTACAAAAAGTGGAAAAATATCCTCGGGTGAGGATAAAAAAAAAAAAAATTAATGATAATCCTTGCCCTGGCCGGTTTTGCTCAGCGGTTAGAGCGTTGGCCTGCGGTCTGGAGAGACCCGGGTTCGGTTCCCGGTAAGGGCACGTATCTCGGTTGCAGTTTGTCCCCGACCCTGATTGGGTCGTGTGGGTGGCAGCCACTCGATGTGTCCCTTTCACATTGATGTTTCTCTCTTTCTCTCTCTCTCCCCCTCCCACTCTATCTGAACAACATATCAAAAAATGTCCTGAAAACCACTTTAAAGTTGAAATAGTTGTGATATCACAGACACATTTTTCTTCCCAGTCTTTCATCACATGTTCAATGAAAGGTTCAATTATACTAAAACATATGTATACTACTGTTTGATTAGTCATTGAAATAAAAATGGTTTACACTGAATTGCATACTTTAAACAGGTGAACATTATGGTATTTAATTTTATCTCAATAAAGCTGCTAATAAAAAAGGTGGTTTGATAATCAGTCTTCTAGTCTTAAGGCTTTTAACTATAGTAAAATGGGATCAGAGGCAAGGAGGAGTGGAATGAGGCTAGTCAATCAGGAATTGGGCTAAATTTCCAGTCTATTTTATGTGGCCCTTAGTAACCCAGAAAGAGAATGTGTCTGTTCATGCATGTGCCTGTCTATGTGCGTGTGTATGTGTGGGAGAGAGGTAGGTTCTGTGGACAAGGGAGGAAGCACAAGGTCAAAAGTTAAAAAACAAAACAAAACACAAAATGTTGTAATTGAAACATTTTTTCTTTTACGAATTCCTAAAAACATAGACTAACTTAAAGAATACTTCTGTCAGACACTAGTGAAAGGAAACATGATAGTAGTTCTCTTTCTTAATCCATAAACAGGCCATATCCAAAACAGTAGCGAGAGCACAGGAATTCTATTTAAAAAATCTCTTTCTATGGCCTGCAACAACTTTCACATACAGATGGCTTGAGTAAAAACTGAAGGCTGCTTTTATTTTATTTATTTATTTTTTTATCCTCACCCGAGGACATTTTTCCATTTCTTGTTCAGATAGAGCAGGAGGGAGAGAGAGGAAGAGAGAGAGAGACAGAAACATCAATGTGAAGGGACACATCGAGTGGCTGCCACCTGCATGACCAACCAGGGCCGGGGACAAACTGCAACCGAGGTACGTGCCCTTAGCGGGAACCGAACCCGGGTCTCTCTGGACCGCAGGCCGATGCTCCAACCGCTGAGCCAAACCGGCCAGGGCCTGAAGGCTGCTTTTAGAATCCAGAATTTAAAAACAACTAAGATCAGCCCTGGCCAGTGTGGGACAGTTGGTTGGAGCATTGCCCAGGGCACCAAAAGGTGGTGGGATTGATTCCAGGTTGGGTGAGTATAGGAGGCTAACGATGAATGTTTCTCTCTCTCTCTCTCTGCCCCTTCCTCTATCAAAAAATAATAATAACTGTATGTAAAGAAAACAATTTTGGTAGAAAAGAATACAAATATTTTAAGACAACACACAGATGATAATAAAACATAGAGTGCTGGTACACATTTATTCTTTTATTGCTAAACATCAAATGCCAGCAACTATGGTTATCTTCAAGTTAAATCCTAAGAATGAATTACAGCACAGTGAAAAGATTTAGAGAAAAAAATCTCTGTGCACCATTAGTTTATGGACATTTAATAAATACCATAGGACAAACTGATGACTGAGAGCCACATATCCATGACATACATGTTTACAATTTACTGGTAGGAACAGAGAATGACCTACAAGAGTGATTATCTAAAGGTCAAGTTTAACTGCATGTCTTTTCAAACTGAGATGCTGAAAAGAATATATACATTCTTTACAGATTGTAGGTGATTTTTTAAATCCTCAAAAATGTAAACAATGCAGAGTAGGAACACTGAAAATAAAATTTCGTTGAACAAAGTGACAACACAGAAAAAACAATTTCTTCAAATCCTCAAAATAATTCATTTTTCTAATTGCTCTATAGAAATCAAAAGGGTTTTAATGAAGATGATAATCTACCAGGGACACGCAGACCTTCCGAGTTTTTTTTTTTTTTTTTTTTTATGGTAACATATATTTACAGTAAATATTCAATAGTTTTATAGCTTAAATAGATACATGCTTTCCTAATCCATAAATAACACTAATCGTCATCCATTCAACCACATTTATTAAGTATTCATGATGTCTCATGCACTGGGTCAGGGATGCAAAGAGGAGTATGACATGGTCCTTGCTCTAGAAGTGCTCACAATCAAGCTGAAGACAGAACAGGTAACATTTCTTTCCTTTCTTATATGATGAGGCCACTTGTATACAAATGGGACTGATCTGCTTAATACCCAATATAGTGGTTCCCAAATCCTGACCCTATGGAGCAACAGACCAAAGTGTTTAAAAACTACAAGAAAATGATGTGGTTGGGATTTTTTTTTCCACCCAGAAAAAAAAAAAATAATCGGAAGGATTTCTTCTATTAAATTTTTCTCCGTTTTTAAAAAACTGACCTGCACATATACATTTTCATTAGTAAACTGCTTAGTTCATTGTAATCAAATTAATTATGCAAGTATTTCATAGTATTCCCTAAGTTCTACCTGAACAGGTCTGCTGATACACTTTAACCCTGAATGACTGTCTGCTTACAAACAGAACAAATGCCTTTCCTGGGATAAACCAATAATTTGTATGGTTTTAGTAGTGCTAATAACTGATGACCTTGAGTCATTAATTAAATGTTAAAATCATACTCAATACATAATTTGTTTAAGAAGGCAGGCATATGTGTAATGTAATCTAAAGACTTTTAGTTGCCTAAATAACAACTCAATGATGTGAAAAAGTGAATCCCGTGGAATACCTCACTTAGTGAAGAAGTTGGATACATGACTGTTAGTGTTCCTGAGTGTATGAGAGGACGTATTTGTCATCAAAGTAAAGCATGTCCATACACTTCTAAAACCACAGTAGCCTGCTGCCTTTCCAACTCTCCCAAAGCTGCATCTTGGAGTACAAAAAACCTCGAAGTAGGTGGGGCTTTTTCGGGCACAAGAGTTAGTTCTCAGGCTCTGGCAAATCCACGTTTGCCCTCACGTGTAGCCATTCTCACTGTACTACCAAGCATTCTGTGGACCCAGTGAGGTAGCTTAGGAGAAAGAAGGAAAGCTAGGACTACATGTTCTATTGCCTAACACAGAGAAACAGGGAGCTGCTGGTGAGGACAGAGCATAGCTCAGAGCTTAAGGCAGTTGCTTCTTAAAGACATGAACCCAGGAGCTAGAACCCAGATAGCCCCAGCAGCATAAAAGAAAATGTCGACCCTGGAAGGGTTCCAAGCTTCACAACTCTGTAGAGTGGTAACCAGGACTGCAGAGGTCCTATGATGTGTCTTGTGATCTGTTGAAAGACCTAGTTCACTTCTGAGGTTCAACCCTAACTGCCTCAGCTCACATGCTTCAAGTGGGAGACACTTCCTGCAGCTCATTTGAAACACGTCAAGGCTAAGTGCTGCTTTGAGGGAATGGGGACACATTACCATAGAGGTAACTCTTGTGGGGCAAAACCTGTTTCAAGGTATTGTAGGCCCTACTTCCTACTTTGTTCACTTATTTGGCATTGTTTGACAAAGAGTTTCCCTTTTGTGTCAGCAGATTCTTTCATAAAATTTTATTAATTACAATCAGATCTCAGCTATCAGAGGACACACAAAATAACATACCATTCAATTTTAAAACTTTTCAAACAAGACAAAGGACAAGAGATACAGGCCAAGAAAATGCTCACCCTTCCACTTGGCCAAAGTCTGGTCTCCTTCAAATCTTTGGACTAACGATGCTTTTGCAAGAAGTTTCCACCAATCGATTTTTATCTAATTCTGTTCTCCTTTAAACAATTACGACACGATATGTAGTCACACAAAACGGTTTAACAAGAATCTGCACTTGTTGAGAAATTGTTCCACAAACATCTGCAGTTTGTGAGTTCAGTCTTTGAAACTAGAATGTAGTCAAGGACTAGACCTTGCATTTCTTCTGTTTATCCCCATCCCAGAGTTTGGATACTCGGGATACAGGAGGAGCTTCAGGAGGAGCTTAAAAGTTGTTGGCTAAAATGTAATTTTATATTTATATTTCATACCGAGTAATGGTTTTCAGTAATGCATATTGTAACTCAGAGGTTCTGTCAGATGATCGCAAGTATTACCGTGCTGTAACCATCCAGAGTCCCAGGGTCACATTGGCAGCCAAAAGTACACTGCCACCAAGCAAGATGAAAAATCCTATCAGATCTTTCACATCATTGTCTCCAATCACCGAGGTAAGAGTAGCATCCAGGAAAGAGTTTAAAATCCACTGTCCATCCAAAGCAAAGCAGGGCACTGCATTAACAATAGCCAGAGCTCCTGAGAGAGAAATCAGGTACCTGGTTAAAATCAGTTAAGGAGCCAACTGTGAGGTCTGAGTGGAAACCACATTTCTGGGAGCCAGAAGAAGATATTTTACTAGGACTCAATTCAAGATTACAGGTGACTTCCTTTCTTTCATTGAATCTCTATCCACCAGTACAGGCCATTCCTTCTCAGATTTGTGCTATTTAAAATAAATGATATATTATTTCAAAGTTCAAAAACCTTGAGTAGAAAAATAAAGGCCATTTGTAAACCAAGGTAATCTATAATGAACTCATAGAAATGTTAAGTCTATTTAATTTTTTAATGACACAATAAGGAAAGGCATTTGGAAGGAATAAGAAATAAAAGAAAAACATTTTTGTTTCTTATAAAGTATTACCTAATATTAAGAAGCAAAGATTTTAGCTCCTTGAACACTATTTTACCATCATGTATAAGGTTCTAGTGTAAATATAACTCCATTTTACTATCATGTATAAGATTATAGTGTAAATCTCTGAGACAAAGCTGCAATCTATAAGATACAATCTTGATTGTACACATTTTTTTGGTAACTGCTCACTTGTTTTCCACTTCATTTTTTTCCCAAATCAAGGAAATAAAAAGATTTAAAAGTGGCAAAAAAGAAACCGCTCAAACTGTTGTTTATTCAAATTCAACATAATAAATTTAAAACATTTTTCATCTTGTATACGCAAACATAATATGCTAAAGAACACAAGAGATCTTGTCCTTCTGAATTGCTATTTCAGCAGTACAAACCAGTTTGCTCTCCTTACGCATCCCTCCATTTGCTCAGAGCTAACAAGCTCAGAAGAGGCAGAATTCATCACCTTACTAGTAACTGAAGTTTTCATGCTTTATAATTCAACTCTCAGTTTGTATTCTGGGTCCCTTCCTTCCGTATCCTCAACCTTTCTCCCTTCCTGATCAATCTCTCTCCTGACTTCTTCCTGCCTAGATACAATCTGCTCTTTTTCAACTTAAAGTCTTTTATTTTAGTTGTTAGTAATTAACTGATATTTGTAAGGTCTATGCATGCTCTATTCAAGGTAAGACAGATCAAGTTCCAAATAACACACTTTTAAAACATTTTCGCACTAGAAAGGATACTTGACAAATGTCTCCACAACCACAGGCAGATCTATGCTTAGAAAATTAAAACGTGGGATAAAACTGGTGATGCTCACTAAAAAAAGAAGAAAGAAATAATGCACATTATTCATATAAACAACAGCACTATGAATTATACCATATAGTAAAAAATTGGGCTGTCCTTTTAAATTGGTTGAGAAAGCCCTTCCCAAACATATGAGACAGGCTATGCCCCACAATTAAAAACAATTATTCTAAGATCATCTAATACAAATAATGGAATACAGAAATTTATGTCCCAGCGTGTACTTATATTTTGAGGTGAGAATAAGATAAAAGTGACTACATACCAAATATGACTACCAAATACAGAGGCTATAAATACAAGAGTTCTTACCTTTTCAAAGAGGTATAACCTTAAAAATCACATTCACTACAACTATTATGCTACTTAACCATTCTGGTCTCAGTTATTTTCTTCATTGCTAAAACAAGGATTAAGAGTAGAGAATTTTTAAGGACTCTTCCACTCTGTTAATTCCACAATCCCGTTTTTGTTCAAAATATTAAAAAACTTTTTGGTAATTAAGTAGAACCCACAGTACACACTTCTGAATTACCCTTAAAGGGGACCTTTCTTTATTTGTTAAGGATGTATTTAATATTTGTACTCTAGAGTCACTTAGTGTTAAACTCAAAATTAAGAATGATCCAGGTTGTATCTCAGGATATAACTATAAAGCAATGAGAGCCTTATAAAGAATAATATAAGCCCGGCAAGTGTGGCTCAGTGGTTGAGCTGATATCAACCCATGCACCAGGAGGTCGCTGGTTTGATTCCCAGTCAGGGAACATGGCCAGGTTGTGGGCCAAATCCCCAGTGGGGGGCATGCGGGAGGCGGCCAATCGATGTTCCCTCTCATCGATATTCCTGTCTCTCTCTCTCTCCCTTCCTCTCTCTAAAATCAATAAAGAATCTGGAAACAGCCTAAATGTCCATCAGTAGACAAATGGATAAAAAAGCCGTGTTACATATACACAATGAAGTACTATGCAGCTGTAAGAAAGAAAGATCTCTTATCCTTTGAGACGACCTGGAGGGACCTGGAAAGTATTATCCTAAGTGAAACAAGCCAAGCAGAGAAAGACAAATATCACATGATCTCACTTATTTGTGGAATATAATGAACATAACAGTCTGAGGAACGGGGTAGTCCCAGAGACGTGGAAGTGGGGTATGGACTGACAATCCCCTAAATAGGGGGTGGGGGGAGAGATAAACCACAGAACTTATATGCATATATGCATGAACAATGGACATGGACAATGAAGGTGGGAACAGGGTGGGGGGCATCAGTGGGGGAAAAAGGAGAAACATCTGTAACAAAAATAAATAATTAAATTAATAATAAAATAAAATAAAATATTGCCTGTAAATCAATAAAGAAAAAAAATTTTAAAAAAAAGAATAACACAAAACCCACATGTCCATCAATGAATAAGAAAATGTGCTATGTCCATACAATGGAATATTATTTGGCCATAAAAATGATGTACTGGAATAGGCCACAACGTGAATGAACCTTGAAAATATGCTAAGTGAAAGAAGCTAGTCACAAAAATATTCAATTTATGTGAAATGTGAAGAACAGGCAAATTTATAGAAACAGAATGTAGATTAGTGGTTACCAAAGGCTGGAGGGTGTTGGAGAGAAATGAGGAGTGATTGCTTAATAGGAATGGGGTTCCTCTTTGAGGTGAAAATATTCTTCAACTAGATTTTGATGATGATTGCGCAACTCCAAATAGATTAAAAACTACTGAATTGTATACTTTAAAAGTGTGAATTGTGTGGTATGTGAATTATATTTCAGTAAGTTATTTAAAAAATGAATATAAAAAAGTTTATACAACATAATGAGTTAGACTATATTATCTTCAGCCATATGGAGAAGCTATATACTCTTCAAATAATTATGCTGGCCCAGTTTTAAAGTATGTTCACATCAAATTCATGTGTCATGCGTAAATTACTTTATCATCATATTCCTATGGTTCCTGGCATTCTGTGGGGTATACTGTTCTTGCCACTGTTTTGAGAGCTTGGATAAATTTAATAAACTTCCACAGAATATTTGAGAGACCAGGTCTGTGACTTGGGCTAAATGGCGGAGAAGGAAAAATGTATTCCTCTCCAAAGGCAGATATGGGATTCAGCTCCATATTGCTTTTAATAAATTCAGATTATTTTCCTACTGCCTAAATTTTATTTAATGCTTAAGAATGAATTAGCACACCTAAAACTAATATATTGTACGTCAACTGTAACTGAAACATTTTTTAAATTAAAAATAAGAACAAGAGATACTCTGGTTTCTCTTCAGATCGTATAAATCTTTCACCTTACTTTTTATATCCTCACCCGAGGACACTTTTCCATTTTTTATTCAGATAGAGTGGGAGGGAGAGAGAGAGAGAAACATCGACGTGAAAAGGACACATCGAGTGGCCGCCACCTACATAACCCAACCAGGGCCGGGGACAAACTGCAACCAAAGCACATGCCCTCAGCAGGAACCGAACCTGGGTCTCTCTGGACCGCAGGCTGACGCTCCAACCACTGAGCAAAACTGGCCAGGGCTCGCCTTACTTTAAAAAAAAAAAGAACAATTTAACAAGACTTTGAAAAGTGACCAAATTTATAACAAATAAAAGTAATACAAGGATTTGTACTGAGTTTCTACCACTGAGAATATATGCCATCTTAATGATTTTTTGAGAGTCTACCACCAAAATACTCACCTGTGTAGTGCAGGTGTAGTGGATGTCCTACGTACAACATATCAATTTGAGGTGGGTGTTTCACTTTTATTAAGCGAGTGTGAGTTTCCAAAGAAGGTATTATGCAGAAACTTGAACTTGAGCTTTTCTTGCAATCTTTATTGGTTCTACAAACTTGGGTGGCTTCAACTGCTTTCCGGGCAGGTAGGCATGTATGCTATGAATACAATATTAATTAGTCAATACTAAAGTGATTTATTAAAAGAAAAAAACCAAGTTACAGTCCTCCAATATTTTTCATGTCACCTAGCATATTAGGAAATAAGTTCATGTAAAAGAAATGCCACTTATGTGCACCTACTATAAATTACATCCAAATATTCTACTTTCTTCAAATAATATATTACCACTATAAATTTTTAAAGATTCTCAGATGAAATGTGACACATGAAATGTAAAAATTTTAACAAAATGATACAAAGCAAAAGGGAGTTTTCACAGATTCCATTTTTGCTCTATCTGCTTATGTTACTATAACTATGTCAGATAAGCAAGACAGCTTCAGGGACAACTTACCAAACGCTTATTAAAATTATTTCTGTAGGAAAAGCACACATCTGTGAGGCTTTGGTTGTTACAACATTCGATCGAACCATCTAGCCGTTTGTATGCTAAAGAGAAATAGTTTATTAGAATATGTTATACAGAATTACATTTGTAATAAAACATTTGCTTTCAAGACAAAAACAGTAAAATGCATATGAATTCATAAACGACTGGATAATTCAGAGCTCAGCTTAACGGCTACTCACTGTAGTTTAATTTTACATTATAAAAATATATATGTCCAAGTTGATATCAAGAAGCAGCACTTACCCTAGGTTAGCTGTCTTCACATAAACTTACCCACTTATAAACCTGGAGTTCCAGAGTCTCAGTGGGCTTTGCAATAACTCCAGCTGGTCAAGCACAAATATTTCATGAGCCACTGTTAGCTGTCCTAATGCCACTGATCCAATATCAGTACTGAGCTCCTCCACTGCGGGGTTAGCAAACAGAGTGGGCCAAAGGATGCCCAAGAGAGTCTCATCCCTATGGAAATCACTATTGTATCAAATACCTATCTCACCTTGAGGCTTACCTTGGGGCTTTCCAGCACCAGGGCAGCCCAATTTGACCCCACAGATGTGCACACATTTGCCTGCACACCAATAATCCAGTTACCATTTTTGGAAGATAACAGAAACAACTGTTTATTCCCACTATTAAATTTTTTAAAAAGTTCTATGGTAGACTGCTTCACTGATATCTGGGGCAGAATTAAGGAAGCTAAATCACTGATGCAGGTGGCACAAAAAATGTTTGCCATTTATTATGGAATATTTCCTGCATTCAGTACATCAAACTTGTAAAGCATAAATTGATGTATGGCAAGGACTAATTAAATTTAGAATCTTATATTCATACTACCATAATCAGATGGGCTGAGAAAGACAGACTCAAGAACAAAGTTACTATAGTACTACAAAGAAAAGTACATTTTTCAGTACCAAATATTAAAAAAAAAATTTATATTATAAGAGTGTCTTCAGGAACACTGGCACGCAAATATTAGTTGATATGCAACATGATTTTATTGCAGCCAAAGGTTTGTGTTTGTTTTTAAATAGCTTTTTTTTTTTGAAACTAGGTTATTTAAGGAAGACATCTTATATTGGCTACACTGGATCTCCCCCTAGCCACCATTGCTCTCTCTCCACAGCAAACACAAAGTAAAGAACAAAACAGCTCTAGTTTTACCCAGGGTACCCAATAATTTAAATGAGTATCCCCCACTTAGGCAACATGGGGTTTGGTAAAGCAATCTAACCAGTGCATTAATTTCCCCTATGCAATGGTTGGCTGCATGGGTAGTTTTGTTTTCCTATCATAACTTAATATATACTTACGTTTTGGGTGACAAACCATATTTAAATATGAAAGCAAACTGTGAGTATACAATGACACTGACAAACCTTTGCCTACAACCACTCCTCAGCCCAATGATAAAGTATAAGGTAAAAAGTTGTTTAGAATTAAACTAAAAAATCAATCTAGGCTAACATCCTCAGCGTTCTCTTTGGTCAGTTGCCAAGTCCCAGCAATATTTACCTTCCTCATCATTTTTCTCCTTATCTGCTCCCACTTGAGTGCAGACTTTAATTCCTTCTCACCTTACCCATCTGAACAAAGTCCTCATGAGTCTTGTTTACTTATCATCTAGCTGGCATGTGTAAACCTGCCCTACATACTGAATGTGACTCCTCTAATCCAACATTTCCAAAGACTCTGCACTGCTCCCAAATAAAGTCTAAATTTCATAACCTAAAACTTAGGCTTTCATTTTTTAACACCTTATTTCATACTATTCTCTTGCTGAACCAAATTACTAGCAGGTCCTTGAGCACCTTCTAGTCTTAAGGCACCACGGTTCATTTCTACCTTGGCCTACTGAAATTAAATTCACTGTTGAGGATCAACTCAAGGGCTGCTGCTGTGAATTTTGCCCTCATCTTTTCAGTCATGACTGACTGCTATTGCTTCCACAACTCCCAATATTTCTGGTCATTATTTACATTTAACCTTGTGCTATAAGAACACAGGCATGGTGTTTCTTTCCCTAGAAGCTCCTCGAGGAAAAGGTTTCTCAGTATCTTATAGAAGGTAGATAACTCAATATGCATTGAACATTTAAATAATGTTCTCACCCGGCCGGTGTGGCTCAGTGGTTGAGCGTCGACCCATGCACCAAGAGGTTGCTGGTTCAATTCCTGGTCAGGGCACATACCCAGGTTGTGGGCCCGATCCCCAGTGGGGGGCATGCAGGAGGCAGCCAATTGATGTTCTCTCTCATCGATGTTTGTTTCTATCTCTCTCTTCTTCTCCTCTCCCTTCCTCTCTCTCTAAAATCAATAAAGAAAAAAAAATCCCTTTCTAAGAGGTTAGCAGCCAGGCCACTCAACTTGGGGCCTATATTCCATTTCATTCCAAGAGAAATCAGAAATCTGGACCTTCATGTGAATCCTACTGAATTTTAAATATTAACAGCCACTTAAAAATTTTAAAAACACAGTGCACGCCAAACCAAATACATCTGCCAAGGCTGGATTTGGTCTCTAGGCTACCACCAATTTTCAACCTCTGGGTAATGGCCTCTTCCTATGGTGAAAATTCCAACCAAAACATAAATCTATGGTTGTGGCTGTTCTGACAAGATTAAGTATCTCCTGACATGCAGAATTTTCCAATAAAAAGTTAAATATTTTGTTAACATGTGAGAAGTAAACTTGATATTTCTGTTTATCAATTTTTAAAAAGTTGTGGGTCTAGCCCAGCTGGTGTGGCTCGGGATTGAGCATAGTCCCATGGAATGAGAGGTTCCAGTTCAATTCCTAGTCAGGGCACATGCCCGGGTTTCAGGCTCGATCCCCAGTAGGGGGCATGCAGGAGGCAGCTGATCGATGTTTCTCACATCAATGCTTTTTTCTCTCTCCCTTCCTCTCTCTCTAAAAAAGCAATAAAAACATATTTAAAAAAAAGTTGTGGGTCTAAAAAATATTTCATTTTAGAATCTTTTCTATTGGGTCACATTAAAGAACAAGTTGATGAACCAATTTTTGTGACTCTATTCTTAACTTATAAGATGGAGATGCCATAGAAAATTTTCACATTAAGGTACTTCTATTAATCATGAGAGACCAATCCAATTCTGCTGTTTAAGAATTCAAGACTGCAACAGAAGGTCCCAGCGGTATCCGTGGGTTCAATTTAACTTGCCTTAAAGATTAGAATTGTCCCTTAAATCTCCCTAGTCTGGGAAACAAGAAAATTTAAGACCAGATCAGTTTCATAATTCCACTATAGGGAGAACCTGCATACACACACACACACACATATATATATATAAAATATATATACATATATATACATATATATATACATATATATATATATACATATATATATATATATATATATATATATATATATATATATATATTTATCCTCACCCGAGGACATTTTTCCATTTTTTGTTCAGAGTGGGAGGGAGAGAGAGGAAGAGAGAGAGAGAGAGAGAGAGAGAGAAACATCGATGTGAAAGGGACATATCAACTGGCTGCCACCCGCACAGGGCCGGGGACAAACTGCAACCCACGTATGCGCCCTTAGTGGCAACCACGCCATGGTCTCTCTGGACCGCAGGCTGACGCTCTAAATGCTGAGCCAAACTGTCCAGGGCTATATATATATTATTTTAATTAATCCTCACCCAAGGACATTTTTCCATTGATTTTAGATGAAGTAGAAGGGAGGGAGGGGGAAGAGGAGGGAAAGGGAGAGGGAGAGGGAGGAGAGGGAGAGAGAGAAGCATTGATGTGAGGGACACATTGGTTGCTTCCTGCATGACCTCAACGGGGGCTGAGGATCAGACCTGCAACCCAGGTACATGCCCTTGACCAGTAATCAAACCCACGACCCTCATTCCTCAGGCCGATACTCTAACTACTGAGCCAAACTTGCCAGGGCAAGAGAACCAGCCTATTTTGAATATACCCTAAGATGGGCACTGAGATAGTCATAGAAACTGCCTAGTCTTCAAAGGTATGTCTAGACCAGAGGTGATTTTGGAATAAGGCTGGAAAGAGACTTTTAAAATCTATAGTTGATAGTTCCTACTACTTTCTCTATCACTAAAATGAACTGAAAAATTTTCTTAACCTAGCTCATTAAACATACAACTGTAGTAGAGCTCCAACACAGGAGAGGCAAGCCTATTTATCCTTAGTTCTACAGTAGACTGTATACCGGCATCACCTACTGACAAGAAGCTTAAAAATTATTACACACACACTCTCTCTCTCTCTCTTCAACTTAGGATAGCAAAAAATCTTTGGATTATTACTTGATGTTCACAATGGGAAAACAGACCCCCCCCCCAAACATTACAGAAGATTTGGGCATAAAAACAATCTGGGTATTCAAAATATATGGAAAAGATTCCTTTAGTTTTCCTTTCTTTTTTTTTTTTTTTATCCTCTCCCGAGGACATTTTTCCATTTTTGTTCAGATAGAGTGGGAGGGAGGGAGGAAGGGAGAGAGGGAGAGAGAGAGAGAGAGAGAGAGAGAGAGAGAGAGAGAGAGAGAGAAAGAAACATTGATGTGAAAGGGACACATCGAGCGGCTGCCTCTTGCATGACCAACCAGGGCCAGAGACAAATTGCAACCGAGGTACGTGCCCTTAGCGGGAACCGAACCCGGGTCTCTCTGGACCGCAGGCCGACGCTCTAACGGCTGAGACAAACCGACCAGGGTTCCTTTTATTTTCTTAAACTGGGTTGGCAATGGTCTTTTCTCACTTTGGTTAAAGGTACGTAAGACAGAATAACATTCCTGTTGCCAGGTAGTTATGAGCACATACCCTCACCTCTTATGAACAGGAATAAAGGCTATTCAAGGGGAATGCCTGAGTCTGAGTTCACAGCTTTATTTTAGGGAACAGTTCCCTTCAGTATTCATTATCATTCTCCTTAAAATATAGCTTAAATGTTGGACTTGCTGAGTATAGTCTTTCTTAAAATAATGCTTTCAGAAAAGAAAAAACAAGGAATTTTGCTTTATGCATATATGAAGT